CTGGAATGGCCATCAGCCGGTCCGCCGCATTTCGCACAATGTCGTCTCTCGACTAAATTCGGGTTCCTTTTAGCGGCATTTTCAGCTTGGGAAATAGCCAAAGGTCACACGGAGCCATGTGGATAGAGTACGGAGCGTGACGAACCACAGAAGTATTGTGTTTGGCGACGAAAGCCCGAATCAGATGCGCAGAATGAGCGGATGCGTTATCACGATGGAGCTGCCAAGTTTTGATCGACCACAGATCCGGTCGTTTGCGTCGCACTGTATCAGAAAGACCACGAAAAACCTCCTGGTAGTACTTCTTTGCGATGGTTTGGCCTTGTGGTGCGTACTCACGACACACCACCCCACGAGAGTCGAAAAAACTGTCAACGTGACCTTTGATATTGCTGCAGACCTGCCGCGCTTTTTTGGCCTTAAGGATCGTCCCCGAAAGCCTGCTGAATCTTGCGAATGATTTACGCTCGGGTATCGCCAAGGTTTTTGGCAAAATTTGGTGTAATATCGCTGCTCACGTTGTTCAGTCATTTTCCAGCTTAGTGGAATCCGACGAGAGCGCACTACATGACCTCACTCGTAGGCCGATTGCCAAGGACTGACGCTTCCTGCAGGCGGGAAAAAATTCAGGGCTGTGCATGACTGTCCCCTCCACAACTCCACCGAAGGAGGCCTCTCGCGCATCATTGGTTTACGCGGGAAAAAAAAAAGGTCTTGAACAGACCTTGTATAATGAGTGAATCCTCAGAGGAACTGATGAAAATTCAAGGAATGGTGGAAGACAGACAGAAAAAGGAAAGACCTGGGCTAACATGACAAGATAACATCAAAAAATGGACTGGGTTAAGTTTGGGAAAAGCTTATAATTGTAAAGAGTGGAAAACTGTTCATCAACTGTGACCCTCTGTAAAGAGGATGCCACAAGAACGAATGAATGAATATGACAGGGGGTAGGCAGTTAGGCTGTCATATCTTGTTAAATTTAATAATTATAAATAAATGTTTTATTTATTCTTAATAGCCCAATGAAGGATCTGATTGTTTGATATTTAGAAATATTTAATAACTGAAAATTTGTTGCTTTAATTTATCATTATTACATATTGAAAATCAATTGGCTTTAAACAATTAATTTTAACTTCAATTTTAATTTCGATACTAATTTTGTACTTTGGCTTTCACTCTTCTCTAGATGATGGATAGTACATTAAAATTTTTATATTGTTAACTACATTTTATGAGATGGTTCTGTTTAAAAACTGTTTTCTAATATTAAATTGATATTATAGATAATTAGTGTAAATGAAGACTGCACAATATACACTGTAATGATGATTCAGTTTTTAATTGATGATTACAAATTTTTTGAATTATTTAATCCATTTAAATTTATTTTTTAAAAATTAATAACTAACATTTTGAAATATAACAATGTGATAAGAAATTCATTAAAAAATAAAACAATATAAAAGTTATAAAAATAATTTTTTGCAAACCATAATTAAACTATAAAATATATATAATATATCAGACACTGATGCAGGTTATTATTATAGTAAATAAGAAAATAAAACTAATTAAAAAATTATTAAAATTGTATAAACATAGATATAAATACTCTAACATTGTGTTAACAATTTTGCTTCTATTAAAGATACTGTCTCATCAACTGTAACAATNAAGATCTTTGTTGATGATAGTGCCTAAAATTAAGCAAACAACATAGAGGGAACATTTTCCTGTTATCTATTGTATAATTGTGCAGAGCAGTAAACTATAACAAGGATTGAGCAGAAACATAAATATTAAAGTGACAGTAATGGAAACCATGCTAGGAAGATATAGTTATTATGTTTGAGTGTCGATATTAACTATAATATTATGGCAGTTTTATCATATATATATATATAACCCATTGAACAGGTATCCGTCTGCGTAATGGTATGCCAAAAATGGGCACTAGAGGCGCCCTAGTGAAGATTTTAAATTAACAATAAATTATTTTTATTTGTAATAGGAATTTATTATTGGTATAAATAATTATTATATGCCTTGATTAACCTTGCGTCGCACGTTTACATCCCGTGACTTAGTGAACGCTGCATGTTGACTCGGGGAAATTTGTTGAAAAAATGACAGATACATTTAAAATTGAGGTTTACAAGCAAATATAAATAAACAAATTAAACTATTTTAAAGTATTTATAGAATGTTTAATAGGTAGAAATATGGATCTGTATGACGCGATTGGGACGATAAGATTTACCCTCTGAATGAAGGGGTGGCAACCTCCCCCTCTGTGCAAACAATAAATGTCTAATGAACCATACCCCTATGCGCGGTCCTTCCCGAGATATAGCTCTCCGAAAATTATTCTGTGGGTCACGCAATTGCCTGTTTGCCACAACTTACCCTGCAAACGAGCGGGTCGGTGACCCCAAGTGTGCATGTGCGCGCGTAAATTTTTTTTGCGCGGTAGGCTCCCTTTTGACCACGGTGTCATGTGACCAGAAATGATGTAGACGAATTTTCAGGGGCTTATATCTTGCAAAGGGTTGCGCATACAGGTATGGTTCCTTTGACTTTATTGTTTGCACAGGGGGGCTACAGTTTGAGGGGTCGCCACCCCTTCATTTGGAGGGTAAATTTTACCATTGGGACTTTAACAGAGCTGTAGAGCATATTGATAGGAACAAAAAAGTCAAAGAAACCATGCCTCATGGAAATTTGTAAAGAACGCTTACTAGGGGGCATCCCAGGCTACTAGTACTTAATAAATAACTACTATTGTACACCTATGTGTTATTTATTGTAAATTTTAATTGTAAAATTGCCATATGCACTGTCCTTAGTATATAAATGATATATTTATATTTTTAAAAATTAATTGAAAAGCAAGCAAATTTATAAAATAAATGAAATTACTAAAAAAATTAAAATAAATAAATTATTAAATAAATTTAGAACCTTCTGGAATAAAAGAACTGGCCCGGGACAGGACTCGAACCCACAACCTGCACTTGCCATGAGGTATGCTTGCCAGTTACGCCACCCCCACCCGGACCTCCAGCAAGTGTGAGATCAGCCGGGACGTAGAGCTCGATCTACGCCACTTACGGGCACTAGTCGGTAAGACCAGTTCTCTAGCTTTGATAGGAGAGCGTATAAAATCAGATCCGAACTGCGAAGGTCAGATGTTCGTCAGGATTCCTTGACACCAGTTAATCAATCTTATTATACGCGGATTAACACGCGTATGCGATCTGATTCGGACACCCAATTAAGAGACATTTTTGTATAATAAACATAAGTATAATTTAATAAATCTCAAACAAACGAATACAAATAACCAAATACAACGATTATACGACAAGCTATAGACTACGACTTAATCTAAGCTAATGCGCGTTCGAGAGAGAGAGCTCACAAATGATTCTAAACATACGACCTGTTAGTTGTCGTCTTCGTTTCTGTAGATACAGGACACCTTGTAGATAGGGTTCATATTACTATCGTATGGGAGATCAATTCGTGCACAAAAAATATAAAATATCACTTCTTCTAAGTGTAGACTCGGGACTTGGTCTATCGGACTCCGTTATGGGCGTTGGCCATCAAGAGGAAACGTATGTGGAGTTTTTATGCTTCGGATCTGTCGAAGAACTCATCGCTGAACTCCTCGAATTCTGACTAATTTCTCCTTTTATTCCAAAATTTCGTCCAATCATCGTCCAGTAACTCTTTCGTGAGAACGGATGAGAGGGGGATGAATGAGGGGTAACCATTTCCCATCTGAGCGAGATTTTTAACGGATAAGGGAAAAACAGCGGATGTTCTCTTCTGTGGAAAGGAAGTGTCATCTGTCATCTATTTTTCCCACGTCTAAAACACTAGTTTTTTCACACAAAATGAAATAATATTTTGTCGATAATTTAAACATATTAATAAAAATTCA